TTGAAGAATGGACAGGCTTAGCTTGCTCCCAGGCCAGGATTCAAATTGAGAATCAAACAAGATTGAAACCATTTGAAACCACTTTTTAAAGCTAAATAAATAGTACTACAACAAACAGTGTAAATAACCAAGTAGGAGAACCATTGACTATCAATTTACTAAATGTTTTGGTAATTACAGTAACAACTAAGCCAAGATTGTGCATTAGATAATTCTATTTAAATGCTATTTTGCACCTTATTATTATTATTATTATTATTATTATTTTTGCTGAAGACTTCGTAAGCACGCATACTAACTTGTGAGTTGACACGAGCTTCACTCACTGTTTGTTTCAATTTGAAAAATAGTTTAGCCATTGTGTATAACTGTTCTTGGAAGAGAATTAGGTCATTTCTATCATAGGAATTGAACATAATAATTTTTTCACGTTGAATTTAACAGACCCTGCATGTTAAATTGATAAAAGGCAATATTGGAAAACCAATCAATAAATCGATAACTATCGATCAGTTGGAATCAATGTTATTGATCAATCAAAAGAAAATGATACTTACATGCCTTGAAGTTGTAAGTTTATCGATTCTATCAGTTTTATCAGATTTAACAATAGTTTTAGAATAGACTGACATAAAGCACCGCTCAGAACATTGAAACCTAGAGAGTTCAGCCAACGTACTTGAAAGTGGATAAAGTTCAGTGTCCATGTTTGCAAGACCTCAGTACAGTGGAACCTCGATTAAGCAGACCCCCAATTCAGCAGACACCCTCTATTCAGGGCTTCTGATATTTCGCGCAGTCATGGAGCTGCGAAATTCAGGTAAATCTGCGAAAGCCCGCAAAATTCACAAAAACACGCAAAATACCACGAAATTTGGTAGAAATATTATCAAATACATGTCTTTACAGCAATTTTGAAACTTGTCTCAGCTACTGGGGGTATTTTCTTGCCATAAACTCGCAAATTTATGTCAAAACTTTGTCACTGAAATGTGCAAACAATGTTCCGAAACTACCAGGCGAAGATTATGTTGCGAAAAACTGGGCACTAGCCATGATGTTAAAGGCTTTGCCATTGGTTCATTTCTGAAGCATATTGTTGTTGAAAGAGCAAATGATGACCTCTGTTAGAAAAACACTAAAAACACTGTCTGATCAGCGCAAAACCGATCGATTTCTAGCGAAATTTGCCCTGAAAATAACCACAAAATCCGCCGTTTTTTGACCAATTGCTTTTCTGCCAAGTTTGCCCTGAAAGTGAAATTCCCGCGAAATCGGCCCATTTTTCCGTGATTTTGTCCCTAAAAATCCCGTGAAATCTGACTTTTTTTCTGCGTCCTATCAGAAGCCCTGTCTATTAAGTGGACACTAAGCTGGGTCCCGAAATTAACATCTTATGTTTCCCTTTATAACGAACCCCTCTTGAGCGGACACCTCTGTTAAGCGGACCCGGACACAAAAATAAATCGCATTTGGCTAATTTCTATTGTTAAAAACCTCTATTAAGCAGACACTGGACTGAATTTACAATAGTAGTATTGGATTACATCCTTGAAATACGGAATGTGGTCGTTTAATGTTTTTGCATTTACAAACAAATTAAAGTTGGTAAAGAAAGGTAATGAACTTGGACTTGGAACTTTATCACAGTGCCGAGTAATCGTTGAATGTAAATCATTAACAAACATTTTGCGCAATTTTTACAAACCTCTAATAAGCGGACACCCTCTATTAAGTGGACACTTGGGAAGATCCCGAAGGTGTCTGCTTAATAGAGGTTTCACTGTATTTAATTACTTAAGTTAATCTCTACATGAATTTATCATTAAAACTTTTAAACAATAATATAAAATAAAACAGTTTTTTTTAACTCGTGGATCACATATAGTGTAAGGAACGAGTTATTGTGGGCACTGTGATATGCAAATTTGTCACTCGGGTACAACGTAGACACTTCCTTAATTAGTCGGCTCACACGAGAATTCCCGATATAATAACAATAATTATTGTTAATCAATCGTTCTTGAAAGTCCCCACGATAAAGAAGTGCTGAGCGTGTATTGTGCCCAGAGCTTTTGATGTTATGATCTTGTAACTTTCATAGGATGGTAAGTTGTCTTCATGTGGACTTTGAATGTTTTAAATTAGCATCATGGCTAACTCGAAGACAGAATTTCATGAACTCTTGAAGCTTTTTGAGTCATCCACGAGATAAACATGACGAAGAGATCAGCAATTGCTTCTCGACTCCAAGCTCATGATTCTACCGTGAATCTCACAATTTTTTTTTATTTCTTCACACAACAAGACTCCCAATCTCATGGTTTTTAGGTAATTACTGTTCTGAAATGAAATCTTTCTTTGTTGAATGAAAACAGAAATGTTTACTGTTGCTGAATCGTAATTGATTCTACTCATGTACGTAAATGCAGAGAATTGCAAGCCGTACAACGCCGTCAGCAATAGACTTTGTGACAGTTTTGTGATACATTTAATAGCACTTTGTTGGCCATATATTTTTCAATGAAACGAGCTAACGTACAGATTTTACTGTCAAAACCCTGCTTATTTTCCTTGAGTATATCTTTCAATTCTTCATATATAAAGCCTACCAGCTTCAAACAGAGTCCACCGGCAGAATTTCATGGACCAAAACGTTAAACATAGTTAATTCAACATCACTGATCAACACTTGGTGTAGTGGCACAATAGATAATCTGATGGTGACTTTACACTTAAATGGCCTGGGGTTCGACTCCCGCCAGAAGAAACTTTTGTCTTTTTTTTGGTCGTTTTGTTTTTGTTTTCTTGGTTTAGTTTTTTTAAACATGTTTTTCCTTTTTTGACAGACTTAAAGTATACCAGTAGTTATTGCACGTTCATTATCAACTATCATTTCTAGAGTAATTATTAATCCATGAGTTAGCAATAGGTACCCTTTGATTTAGACAAATGGTCAAAGGAAGTTGTTTCGTGTTGCTTTTGCATTCTGTTGAATATCTTTTTTGATATAATATGGCGATAAAACCAACATTTTTCGACGAAATCGATAATTATCGATTACTCATATCAGATCCTTATGTCGACTTTTACTGATTCCCAATACAATCAATTGAGAATTGATCAATTGATTGTAATAGATTTTTTACTGAAAACTATCGATTATTCATTTTATCGATTAAACATGCCGGGGTTAGAATGATTCCTGTTTTGAATGGAGTCACCAACAGATCTGTTTCGCTATCAGTTAATGCAACTCCAAGTACAAGTGAACAGTCTGAACGATCATATTTTCAGGCTATTCAAATCACAATTTTTTCTTGGTCGTTGGATAGAGAGCTTTCTATAAGCAAGCACGCCCCATTTAAAAATACATACCCGGTAGATTAGCTACAAATTTCAGCGATTCGACGTTGTCCTTCGTCAATTCATCAGAAAGCTTCATCAAGAAAACCTTGTAACTTCCTTGCATTGGACCACTTGTTACAACAGGCGCCACCGCACTCTCCGTTTGCATAGTAGCATCTCCACTCGTGTTGATTTTCGCAGCTAAATCAGCTCTTCCAATCCTATTCAGCATGTTCACTAAGACGCTTAGATTCCCTGGTTTAATCAGCCGCTTGTGTAACATAAGTCGAAATAAGTCGTTCGAAGTTTGAGCTTTTTCAAGTTCCCCGAGTGGTATTTGTCCATGGCATAAATGCTTTAAATTTTGAAGGTCGTAAGCCCTCATTTCGTTAGATATTCTGTAAAGGAGAACATTTGTTTCTCCTTCATCGGCCATTTTTGGGGAGAAGACAGCAAGGGAGCAGAAATCGTTGAACAGCTTCAACACACTACTCCAGACTCAGCCATCTTGATGTTTCTCGGAACTATGGAGTGGCGACTGGGTACAAGGGAAGTTCCCATGACGTCATGGTCATGGGTGTAAACATGAGTGATTTCCCCTTTTTTCCCGGGATGATTTGCTCATCAGCTTATGCAAAGGAAGTGATCCCGCCCTTAAACAGTTGACGTCCTCTGTATTCAGCATGGTAGTTAGATCACTGAAGAGCCCTTATGGATGATGACGTCAGACTTGTTAGTTTTATCAGGGCTGGTTTTTTTCGGAGAGACTGAACGCCAACTGAACCACCACATTTCAATAAAGCTCAGGACATTCAGTCAGCGACGTTCTTCTAATCCCACTTGAACTCATACGAACCAACGGTGACGCAGTGAAAAACGCTAGGGAGGCTCTAAGGGAACACCAAATAGGAGTGACGAAGCTCGTTGATATACGATACTACCTAGTCTCCAACACCAATAACAATCTATTGTTTTCATTTTCATATTTTCAACGTTTATCTTTCAAAACTTAGGCAAATTTGTTTAAATATACATTTTTGTTTTATGGCTTTTGTTTACTTCTTCATCGCCTTGCCGTAGGGATCAGTTTGCCGTTTTATATTTATATATTACTAGTTTTTGAATGACGTTCCATGCGTTTGTACTGTTTGTGTGAGAGTATGAAATATATAATAGGGCAAATATCATGATTCACCACTTTATTTTTGTTTTCTTTCTTTCTTTTTTTTTTCTATCACTCTTCCTGCCGTAAGGATCAGTTTACTGTTTTAAGTTTAAAATTTGGTACTCAAGATTTTAACTGATCAAGGTCTACAAAAGATCCGGTGGACCCTCACTGGTTTGTCGTTGTGGTTTTGCCTTGTGTTTGTGTGTTACAAGTGTTTCTGTGAATGAGGTACCTCATTTTCTCTTGCTTCGCAATATTGCCATTCCAAAATGATATTCACGGGTGGAGCAATTCGTCGGTCTGAGGTGAAAAATGGACTAAAAAGAAAATGCTTATGGTACGTCTCCAAAAACACGTGTGAGAGCCCGTGCGCAAAGAGTTGGAAAAGGGAAAACGAAAACAAACTTTCGGTGAACACATCGTGACGTAGTCACAATCCCATGAAGCCACGCGCCCTGCCAATTTCCCTCCTCTCTTAGTTTTTGTCAGCCTCCAGCCGAAGCTACCTGGAGTGTCCTAAAATTTCCCATTCGAAAGCCTAGAAATGGTGAGAGTCAAATAAAAATGATACTGACTATCCTTTTCTAACGTTCATAAGATCGTGTGGTAGAATTTTAACGTTTGATTATGTTGAGATGGCTAGGATATTTGAAGATGAAACTCGTTCTTTTTGGGAACAGCTATCTGAGGATTCTCGATTTGTTCTTACAGGCATTTGTCAAAGTAATCAAGAACAAAGCGTATTTCAAGCGTTTCCAAGTCAAATTTAAGAGACGACGAGGTCAGTTCACTTCTAATTTAAAGGCTATTTTTTAAGCATTTGCACGGTCGCTTTGGCGAAAGAAAAAGTTGGAAAGCAAAGTCACATGGCAGTTTTCCTTTTGTTATTTTCAGAGGGCAAAACTGATTATTTTGCCCGCAAGCGTCTGGTGACTCAAGATAAGAACAAATACAATACGCCAAAGTACCGCTTTGTTGTTCGCTTCACAAACAAGGACATCACTTGCCAGGTTGGTAAATCAAAGTTCTTTCCCACGAGAGCTCGAAATGATATGAAATCTGAAATTGGTTCTGTGGGGAACATGTTGTTGGCTTGGTTTCAGTGTTCTGGCCGCTCAGTAAAGTCTTTCCTTTAGTATCTGAAACAGATTGTGGGATTTTCCTGATGTAGTTGGAGTCATATGCAGAGTTGTAAGAGCTCTTATAACTTAGTGAAAATAAAAAATCATAGTCGTGAGCAGTGGTGTCATAAGTACAAGAAAATTGGAGCTGTTAGAATCGGAACATTTCCGATTCCTTTGGACTCTGGTGAAAACCAAATTGTCATAGTCGCAAGCGGAAGGGGAAAAACATTCCAATCCCAATGTTTGTTCCTGTGCATTGTGATTTGCTTAGTTCTTCTGCTTCTGCTTGCGACTCTGTCAACCTAGTGTTCATCAGAGTGTTAGTGACAGAGTTGTTAGTGGAAAGGGAATGTTGTTTTTACTTGATCACAATGCTCCACGGTTGTGATAATGACTCCCACTCTGTGTCTGGTACCACTGTAGACCAGCCTTAAAATATTGGACAGTCAGGAAACTGTCAAATCCGTGTTAGCCTTGCATTTCCCAGTTGGGCAAACCAGGCTTAAAAAATGTACCAAAGTTTTCATTGTCTAAACTATGTTAAATCTTAGAATTGCTATCGTAAAGACGAACCACAAACTGTCCAGACTTTTAAGACTCATCATAATTAATCTAATCTCAATGTTACCAGTTTCTGAAAGTTCCCTTTGTATCTCCTTTCCTTTAGCAAAGTGAACTCCAGCCCTAGAAATGCCTCCAGAATTATATTTTCGGCCAGCCTAAAACTGTTAGAATCCCTCTAAATTAAGAGCACAAAATTGAATGGCAGCCTTGTACTAATTTCATTGTGAAGTTGTTCCTTTTCTGTTTTGTTGTTTTTAAGCCTGCCTAATGTCTAATGGCTATTTTGATTGACTGTATACTTCTCTGGTGAGCGGTTCTGTACACTTTAGGTTGCTCCCTTATTTAGTATGTAGTGATCCCAAGATTTCAAGAAAAACTTGCAGTATTCAGGAGAAGGAACCAACTGACTTATCAGGGTAAAAGAAGTTTCTAAACCTTGTTAATAATTTGCTCTTTTCTCCTATTACAGGTAGCGTATGCCAAAATTGAAGGGGATGTTATCATCTGTGCTGCCTATGCGCATGAACTTCCCCGTTATGGCATCAAGGTCGGGTTGACCAATTATGCAGCAGCCTATTGCACTGGCCTTCTGCTAGCACGTCGTGTAAGTAAAATGCTTACAATTTTATTTGTCATTATAAGGTGCTACTGTTGTGGTGTAGAGTTGCTAATTTTGCCTCCAAGGGCAGCATACTTTAATTACCTTAATGTGAAAATTGATACGTTTCTTACTATTGCCTAAAAGAGGCCCCTTCTATGACTGTCTGTGAGACACTGGTATTTTGAAAGTTATTCTGTGAAATTATAATAAATCTATGACTCGTAAAAAATTTATAAAGTTGGTTGAATTGATTGGCCGAGGTAAGAGAGTTGAAGTTGTTGTTTCAGGTACTGACCTGTCATATTTGTGGGTTGTGTGTGGTAAATGAAAATGTAGTCTGCGAATACAGTTGTTTCTCTTCGCTCCTCATCGCTGGCTTGAATGTTTTGCCAGGAGGAATGTCTGCGCCTCAGCGACAGAAATTCCATACTGATGACATAAATCAATGTTTACATATTAAGTCTGGTAGTCATGGGTTTCCAAAATAATGTAAATTTGTTTGATTTTGTTTCTCCTGGTCGATTATGGTAAAGTTTTGTGTTCTACTGCGAACAAGCTCCAGCACTTGTAACTCAGATGCTCTTTTGACAGAAGAATATAAATTCCAGGAATATTGACTGTTTTGTCGGAGATTCATCACATGTATGACTGTGTTTACATTTGACCTTTGCGGCCTTTTGTGTTTTGTCTGTCGTTTATAAACAATAGGTAAAACAATATAACTAATATATAGATTTAGCCAAGTCCAAAAGCGAAGCTCTCGAGGGATCTTTGTCAAGTAACTCAACTTTGGCGTGAGCAGAAAGCAAACTGAATTCTACAAGGCTGTGCTCTAGCAGAGCCAGGTGGCCCTTGGTGCCTAATCTAATCTCAGATTTCTCAGAGAAATCATATGCTGGGCACCCTAGATTTTACAGGTTCAGAGCACTGGGCTTCCTTCAGTTTTTAGTAGGGCACAACCCTGTTCCATCTTAAANTTTAAAAGAAAATAAACCTGAGCCCTGATCAATTGAAAACCTAAAACTGGTCAGCGGATAACTTTAAAAAAATATGTCACCTTAGTGGACAGCCTTTTTGGACATCTGTCAGTTATTGTCGGTAACATGGATATCCAATACCATTTCTAACCCATAGCTAGTCAGTGCACCATTTTACATCTGCCAACATGAAGGGGTGGATGTATGTAGGTTGTTTGGACGATTTTGTTAGAACCAAAATATTTTAGATGCATAGATAACCAAATTTTCTTACCCCTGGTGTTCCACTGCGTGCGCTTTGCAGGACCGATCAGAGCTTCTGATCCGATTCCAGACAAATTTTAGCATCATCTGCATGGAATTTCTGTTGCTGAGGCACAGACATTCCTCCTGTTGAAACGTCCCCAGCAGCAAGGAGCAAGGTGAAATGGCTGTATTCACTGGCCGATGAAGATGTAAGGTTGTTAGAATTGCATAATTTTACTACTGCAATTATATTTTAAGATAACCAAGTGCTGGGCGTGCTTGCCCAGGGCTGTTGCATCCTTGTCTAAGTTTATGATTTACATGTAGTTAGAACATGACTTACCTATTCCTTGGGCATCGGGCAAGTGAGCTCGAAAAGTTAAATGCTTAATGGGAAAATCTGTTGTTGAGGACAACTGGAAATGGACTTTTCCTGTGCCCTGAAAGTGAAAAGCTATTTACAGAAGAATCAGTTTAGATTACATGCAGACAAAACTGTTTCTTGATTTTTCTTTTTCAAAGGGTGTGCCAGAGTGTTACATAAATCAACTTTAAAAAGACCAATACATAAATTATTTAAATTGAATTGAGTATTTTTATATGTTTTGGAGGATAAAATTGGTTAGTGAGAGTCAGGATTGGAATTGGTGCTTTTCTTTTTCCAGTCTAATGGTTATGTTATTCTTTTTTCTCTTTTAGTTGCTAACCAAATTGAATCTTAATGAGATTTACACTGGGACAGAAGAGGTCAATGGTGATGAATACAATGTTGAAAGTGTAGAAGGCTCTCCTGGTGCCTTCAGGGCTTTCTTGGATGTGGGGTTGGCCAGAACAACTACTGGAGCCCGTGTGTTTGGTGCCCTTAAAGGAGCTGTTGATGGTGGCCTGGATATCCCCCACAGGTATGGATTATTAAATTACGATTTGTTTGCATTCATAGTAATATTACTTAGGCTACAAGGGTACACACCTGTCAGAAGACTGTTTGTGCATTTCAACGAAGAATGTTACATGTGGTAATTGTCACACAAATAAAACCATGAACACCTAAAATATTTCAGGAATGTTTATTGTGGTGCGACCAATCACACCAAAGATCAGGACATGTGAGCTAGCCACAAAACCACAAACTTATAAATGTTTTTGCTTGGGGTTTAGTTTTTTCATACTTACTCTGTAATAATATTGTTTTTTTTAAAACACAATAACATTCTAGAAATATTTCTGGTGTTCACGGTTTTGCTTGGTTGACAGTACATTATTCAATTAGAAATAGTAGAAGGAGAATTCTTAATTTTCTTTTTTGTTTGTTTGGTTTTTAATACCAGTTGTGAAGCTTGTTCTAAAGAATAGGTATAAGAGTAATACACCTTCCAGTGCTTCACTCTTCCAAGTGCCAGCATTTTAAAAGCACTCAGGCTAGCTAATTTTCTAAAGCTACCTAAATGGGCACTTGAGATTCAAGAGAACATCCTTGGTAACTGTTAGAGCTCAGTGATCATGTGTCAGATTATCTTAGTCAGTGGTTTCAATAAATATTGAAGTAGTAAGCAGGGCTGAACAGAGTAACTGACTGTATCAACAAGGAGCCAGTAGTCAACATTTTCAAGGGGTGTCTCGGGGTTAGTTTTAGATTCCAGAAGATTCGGGTTTAAGTCAAACTGTTTAGCCACACAATATTAATGCCTATAAGCAATGAACAAATGATAATTACTAAGTTACGTACATTGTTGTGTTAACAAATTCTATTTCTGTCCATGACATTATTCGTACTAGTTGCATATTCTTTGGGGAAAAAAGTAGCCGACTTCTCTGAGCAATGTAGCCATAACGTTTTGTCGGTCGTTGGTGCTTATTGAAACTCCTGCTTAATCTTTTGTTTACAGCATGAAACGATTCCCTGGCTATGACAGCGAGTCCAAGGAGTTTAATGCTGAGGTCCACCGCAATCACATCTTTGGACAGCATGTTGCCAACTACATGAAGGAATTGAGGGATGAAGATGAAGAGGCGTACAAGAAACAGTTCTCTCAGTACATCAAGAATGGAGTTGACCCAGATCAGGTGACCATGCAATGGACAATATTATCACTGCATTACTTTTGAAGGCTTCAGTTAGGTTCTTCTTCAGTGAGGAATGGGGCTACTAGTCTGGTCTTGAGTGATAGTTTAAGATACCAATTTAATTTTAAGAAATTCTCTTACCATTAGTCTTGCGTTACATGTCTGCAATTGTGTTTGTTTAAATGAAGATATGATCATCGCAGTGGTAATTGCAATTTAAGCAATTGCAAATTAACCCGGGAAAAAATTGTAAAATGTGGGACTTCAACAGGATTTGAACCCATGGCCTCTGCTTTAGTTTGTCATAGTAAGAGTGTAACCAATCATTAAGTGGTGTTGTGATGCTGTTTTAGATGGAGGAGATGTACAAAAAAGCTCATGCTGCTATTCGTGAAAGCCCTGAGGCCAAACCTGCCCCCAAGAAGGATGTTCAACCCAAGAGGTAAGGGTCTTCCTAAAGATAAATAGCAGTAGTCTACAGGGCAGTTTGAGTTATCAGGTACTGGTATATACAATTAATAGGTAATTAATAGTTAATTGAGCAGCAAGGAAGTACAGTTTTGTGTAATGGATTATTATTTTACCCAAAGTAAATTAGCAGGACTAAAGACACCATACTCAAGACTCAAGCACATGTTCAGCAACTTACTATATCTGTTTTAGCAATCCCTGCATGCTTCGCGCGTCACTTCATCCGTGATGTAAACATTACATTTTGGTTCTAGTAATTTCATTTTTTTTTTGTTTCCTCATGAAAGTAGGTGGAGGTCATGCTTTAGTAGACAGGGCAAAATTCTTGGCCTTTTGCCATTAATGACAGCCTTGAGCCTCTTTTTGGGTTTGATGTTACAGCTCTGTTTTCATTGCATCATTATTCATGTAGTGTAGTTGTCTGTACCACATGTTACGTCACTGAGAGACAGTCACAGGGAATTTTAAGAACATTACAGGACAATACAGGGTGTGCCAAAAGTTCGTTCCTCTATTTTGATGCACAGTAACTTTTGATCAAAACTGTATTTTTACATGAAATTTCTAAGAGATGTTTATTTGTCTATTGAGTACATGTATTCAGAATTTCAGTAACTGGCATGCCCTTTTTGTTTGTAACCGTTCAGATGATCCATTTTGAGCTTTTTTATCAATTGGTGCGTGGGACCCAGTACAACCCCCAAACAATATTTGTTTAGTTTAGGCAGCTGAAAAATAATATTTTGGGCATTCATCCAAAAAAGATAATCATCCCTGCCCCCTTCCACAGCAAGGCTTTTGTTCTTTACAAATTTGAGACGAGCTGTGCGTTACTTGGCAGACTAAGCAGAGGTTTTTTTGGCCATCTCAGGGGCCTCCAATAATTTTAAACATTCGTTTTTCATGACCCGTTGTGGACTTGGCTTGCTAACTATGTGAGAGCCTGCTCGTTAAGTCGCCCATTTTGTACCTAGCCTTCTTTAAAAATATTTTAGATGCTTTATTCAGGACTTTAAGTCTTCCCCTTCGTTTCTTGCCTTCAAAACCGTCATTTCTCCATGATCATTTTACCACCCAACATTTGGATTTTTCCAATATTTTAGCAGTTTCTACAACAGATAGGCCAGTAAATCGAAGTATACATGCTTATGCTCTCACGTAGCTGAACGTTTTTGCGTTAAGGGGGTTTATCTTTCGTGATATTTACATAAAACAAGGAAGGAGTTCGATCAATTAGGGCTATGAAATACAAAAAATATGTGGCTGGAAAATATACTCGCGCACGCGCACCTTTGGCGCGGAAGTACACAAATCGAATATTCGAGTCAAAAGATGGCTTAACAAGTATGAAAATAGTGAATTCGGTTGACAGACACAACTTTTGTTTAAATGATTTGCTTACCAAGTCCAATCGTACTGAAATACAGACTTTTCAGAGGAACGAACTTTTGGGACATCCTTTACTTACTCACCAGAGAATAAACAAATTTATTTAAACAAAAGAACTTCCTTGTACTATCCTCGGTTAAGATTATTGGTGATAGCATTTAACATGTTATGTCGTTTTTCAGGTTCAACCGCAAGAAGATGTCCCTGCAGCAACGCAAGGCTCGTGTTGCTCAGAAGAAGGCGTACTTCCTGAAGCAGCAGGGAGACGATGAAGCTGATGAGGAAGAGGATGATGAAGAATAAACCAGTGTTTCTCATAAATAAATAACTTGAAAGAATAGTTTTGTTGATGTCATTTTTTCGGCAGCCTGTGAACAGGGCTTCCAGTTAAGGGTATAAATTATGGGGGAGAGCAACAAGTGATGTGTGCTCAGTTTGGGAGACTTTTACCCTGCGTAGGAGAGATTATAGCCGCGAGAAGATTAGGAGCATGTCGTTCATACATACATACATTTATTGAACACATCCCCTTCTTGGGCTTTTCAGTGAACAAATAGGATTACAAAATTAAAATATATACAATGCGAATTATTTATCTTTAAATTAGATTAATATCAATTAATCAAAATTCATTCGGAAGGTGAAGGAAGCGGGGGTTCTTGCATAATTCGAGGTTTGAATCTAGCTTATTCCAGGTAGATACACTTCTATAATAACACGTTTTGTGTCCTGTTGCAGTTTTAAAAAGAGGAATGTTTAGCCGTTGAATGTTCCTGGTTATACGTCTAGGCACGCTGCCTCTTGTAATAAACGTAGATGTTAAGTAGGCGCTTGACCCGTCATACATTCAAGTGTTAAGGTAGCATCTCGACAATACCGTTGTGTTTTTACAGGGAGCTAACGTAGATTGCTTGGCTTTGCAGGGATTGCGTTTTAGCCTGCGTTGGTGACGGTATTGTTTTTGCATGTGAAAGAGGTTTGGCGGCGAAGCCACCAATCCGCGAGACGTCTCGTCCCATTCTCCGCACGGCTTTGCAGCTCGCCTCACCCTGGCAAAGCTTTGCTTGCACAAACGATCCCGCTGGTTACCTAGCTAATTGCGTCTTTGACGTTCTTCTTGCAGTCGCCGTCTTCGGTTCTAAAGCTCCCCGGAGTCCCCTTGACTGATTATTATGATTATTTTTCCTAAATTTTCTTGCCCGCAGGCTTCGCGCGTTTGAAGGATTGTGCCTTGGCCTTAACTCCCTGCTGACGACAAAGTAAAATTTTTGACTGCCGAACCATCCCTCTCGACCCTCCTTTTCTGCTCTGCCCGTGTACTTTTTAACCAAGCCAAATTGTTGTATGGGTTTTCCATTGAACGGAAGAAGTGTGATGATGATGAACTTCATGTAAGTCTAGGGGCCTGCTAAGAAGGGGACACAATTCTTAGAGCCCTTAGGGACCTTAAGCAACTACGACGACGGCGGCGGCAGAGAAAACATCACCAAAAAAATGAATTTGCGTCCTTTCAAACTTTATCGCGTCTATTTGGAACCGCTCAATTCGTCAAATGTAGGCGACTTTTCCTGGAGTTGAATTCTTAAGGGCTTAATCTATGTTGAAATAGAGAAAGGAAAATTTGTCGTCTTGTGTCCACGTCCTCCACAAAACGTCGCATTGGGAGGTTTCACGTCGTAGTCGTGCCGTGGACGTCAAAGAAATGTACTAAAAAACGCGATGCACGTGCAGAGCTGTTGTTTTAGTCATAAAACCAATTGGTTTTCGACGCCGTTGTTGTCGTCGTCGTCGTAGTTGCTTAAGGTCCCTATTTTTATTGAGCAACGACGACGGCGACGTCAACGAGAACGGCAAAAAGGAATATGGTAGGTTTGGATTGGCAAAACAAGTCTGCAAGTGCTTCGCGCTTTGTTTGAACATTTCTTTGCCGTCACTGCACGAGTGCGACGTGAAAATGCCTTATTTCACGTTTCGTGAAGGACTTGAACACAAGACAACAAGCTTTGATGGCAGTCTTTTCAACTCCAGAAAAAATTGCCAACATTTGACGAATTGAACGAGATGGAATATGCGCTTTTCAGAAGTTCGAAGCAGCGCGAATTCACTTTGTTAAGTGACATTTGTCGTTGTTGCTTAAGCTCCCTATTATATTATATTATGTTGGAGGTCTACCCCTCGGATTTTCTTCTTAAAGGCGTAAATTGATTAGGTCTTTTTGACATACTCTACTAAAAGCAAGCAGTACACCGAGCAAAGAAGGCATATAAACTATGGTGGCAATTTATCTGCTTTTATTTGATAAATCATTATAATCTAATTCTACCTTTAATCTCCTAGTCTAATGCAATCCTTATCGATCATAGAAATCGTACGAAAATCGTCTGTATCAAATATAAAAATATATTAGAACTCTTTGTTTCCTTCACCAATACATATCTGACGGGTACCAACACTAAAAAGAATGTTAATGTGTGACGCGTATGTTCCACGTGACTGCCTTTGTAGGTGCGAGTTGTATATTGCATGAAACAGCATTCAGTTTATGAAACTCTCGTCGTATGCAATGACTAATGAGGTGAGTAGATGTATTTTTATGTAAACGGCTAAGTTCTCCTGCTTTATTGGCAAGAGCATATCTATTTTCCAGCTTGACGATCCTTGTATCTTTAGCACGTCAAGGGGCTTCTATTGTACTAAATAACATTTTCGCTTCAATGTTGTTTAAATAAGCTTTTTTAAAAGAGTATGATTCGCGGTTAATGGCAGTTGATACGATGTATTTATTTACAGTGAACAAACGCATGCTAACTCAGCCTAACTAACTGGCTTAATGAATCATCCTAACATATTCCACGGTCTTGATTGTAGATTGAAATTCTACTCTTGGGCTTTGTTAATATAACGCAGGCAATCCTCAGAGAGTTGCTCGCTTCGACGCTGTGCAGTGTAGAATATTTCTCTAGCATTTGCAATGAACATGTTGGCACTGGTATCCCTGTGGGCATATATCCTATGATACCGTGCTTTGTTGCATCTCCAATAACTGTTTATCAATGTTTTTCCTCCTCGCCTCATTTAGAGCCAAGCGTTGCTGTAAGCTTGCACGACTACGAGAAAAACAATACTAAAGTAAGTCACAGAAAACATTGGCTATGCTGCCTTGTTTTCTTCAATATTTACATGTGGCTAAATATCATTTAGGCAAAGTTAAACTCGAGCGAGTTGGCCAGCAGTCTTCTCCCACTTCAGTATGTGACCTACGGGGCGGCCCGCGGGGAATTGCAGGGCTCCTTGTGTGCCCTGTTGCTAGTGTTGCTTTGCATTGTAGCTTTGCTTGCTGATTGTAGCGGATCATTTCTTAGCCTTCTTGCAAATCAGTGCGGATTCTTGCTGATAGTCGCGGATCAATGTTTGCCTTCTTGCGAATCATTGCGGATTCTTGCCGTCTTCGCCGTTGCTTGCTGATCTTAGCGGATCATTTTTAGCCTTCTTGCGAATCATTGCGGATTCTTGCTGATAGTAGCGGATCAATTTTTGCCTACTTGCGAATCATTGCGGATTCTTGCTGATCGTAGCGGATCAATGTTTGCCTACTTGCGAATCATTGTGGATTCTTGCCGTCTTCGCCGTTACACACCGTTTTCTACTCGCCGCATGTCTCTACGTAACACAAACAACAGCCTTGCGGCCGGTTTTTTGCCGCTGGATTCACGACTGCCCACTTTGACAACGGGTGCCATCCCAGAAGTTCCTCCTTCTTCTGCGAACGATGTTTGGGAGCCCATCGCATCTGACTAGCGTTCCGGACGTGCCGTCCTTTGCCTTTTTGGCCGCGCCTCCGTGGTCGCTGCCGTTAAATCAGCGCTCTCAGCCGAACAAACTACATCTACAATAAGCGTTCCGGTAGCCTCAAGCGTGGCTGGGGGCGTTCCCACGACGTTCGTTTGCATTCTCAAGCTTTGGATCTGGCTGCGTCTAGTCTTGGTTTCCTACCAATTTCTGCTACCAGCATCGGATCGGTTAACCAATTGCAAGGTAGGCCAAACTTTGTTGTCCCTTCTTTGTGTCAACTTTTTCGCCGCCGGTATCGCCCGTTGCTCCTTCCCCCCGAGCGTCTAAAAAGCCAAAACGGCGTATG